AATGTGACGATAAATGTAAATAACAAAATCAAATGTGACGATAAATGTAAATTTATGAACCTGTGTTTTTTTAAGTAATAGCAAGTAATAACAAATTATACATTGTACAAGCAATATTTATAGAAAACAACATTTTATACAATACTATATACAGGGGGTCTTGACTAACATCGGGGTTCCGATCATGAAGATAAGCATTCATCCTGCAATAGTTCAAACTGACAAAGTTTGCAATTAATTAAGGCAGTACTAAATAAATATTTGTTTTTGAAAAATGCACGTAATAGGCTCCTACTTAACATGTATTCACTTAAGAATGAGGTGCAGTATATTAATAAACCATGTTATTACACATACACACTTTCATTAAAGCATAAATGTAGGGATGGGACTAAAAATGACAGATAAAATGGAATAAGCATAATTAAAGATCTTAATAAAAATTCCAACACTACAATCAATGTGTTTTTCTCTCTGCAGTCAACAGGCCCAGCATGCGTGCCAACCACACCTTCTTTGTTCATACCACACTCACATCCAAAATGGTTTTGGATGTGAGTGTGGTATGAATGCCACAGTCTATTTGTGACGGACTGACTGCAAACAACCATAACATCTGCCACAGATACCTGCATTATATGATCTCTTTAATCAATGGATTGTGGTTGAAACTGAAATACAAGCTGCTGCCAGTAGTTAAGTTTTATATAGTATGGCAGGGTCACAGCCAATCACTACTAAGCTGTGTTTAGTAATGGAAATGTTCTTCACTTGCCATGCCAACTGCCTCGTGTGGCAGTTGGCTCCCCTGCTTTGCAAGCAAAAAGCAGAGAGTCCTGGGTTCGATTCCCAGAGGGACCAACTAATGACACTTCCCCCACTTGGAAGTGGCTTTGGGTAAAAGTATCTGCTAAATTCATAAATAATAAAATATAAACTTACATAACAAAGATGGAAAGAAGGCACCTGGAATAAAAACTGTATCGGTTTGAAACTGAACTGGTTTGAAAACATTCACTCTGCACTGATTACAAACTGATTTTAATTGACGTCTCTTTAGGATGGTGCTAAAATTCAATAGAGGAAGTGATTCTACGTAACAAAGGTCTTGGAACAACCAAGTCATGCAATTTAGATGAGATTTGATAATATAAAGTCTTAGTCTGTAAAATGCTCAGACAGGCATTTTTACTCTTTAACCAAAGGACAATAACCACATGGACACGGTCAAGGTCTGTTTATCCACATGAATTAATATACAGCACTGTCAACGGAACTGATTCAACTGGGATTTACATCAGAGAGCTACTCAGGTCCCTTAACAAAGGCATTACTAACATTACAAAAGCATCAAGCGAACAAGATCAACCATGTACAGTACCAGTTACTCTCAAGTTCAGACTAGGTGGTATCCAGGTGCTGGAAGTAAAATAACAAACCTCCCAGACCTAATTCTCTATACAGTTTACCTGGGGTCTTCTTGAAAAATGCAAGAAGACCCCAGACCCCCCTCCCCGCCCCCACCATCTCCTCAAACATTGGAAAGCACTGTCAAAGTCAAATCAACCATACAGTTAAATGGATGGACCAATCAGAGGACCCCCTGTTTAGTACAATTGGAAGATACTGATCACAGTTGGTCATCTATGCTCTTCTATCTTGTCCATGTGAAGTTCGATGGAGTAGGAGGAGCGTGGGTTGTCAAATTGCATTTGATTTTGGATCTGTACTATAAGTTCAACTAAAGTCATAGTGACCTGAAATCCAAACATACACATAGCACTGACTTTGCGTGTTCTAAACATTGAGAGCATAACAATTGGCTGTATTGTAAACAGGGTTGTTTCGGAATTTAATACATCGGCATGAAACATCAGCATACTGACAACATGTTTTTGTAAGCCACAGTAATGAACCTTTATGTCTCATCACACTGGGCGCCAACAACCTGTCCTGCACTTCATACACAAACGGCTGTACTGCATTCACCACATAGTGGCTCTGACTCACGCTAGATTTCTTTACATGGCTGCAGGCAGGGTGAAAATACTGAAAACAGGACTGGCAGGAAAGAGTTCCATGTTAATGCTGTGGTATTTTTTAAAGCAGTTGGTGATTTTGTTCTGACTTGGGTGAGGTGGCAGACACCGAGGGCCTATGGTTATATACAAGCAAAAGAGTTGTCAAGCAAAAAAAATTCAAAAATATAAAATTGAAACAACCACAGAATTCAATCCTAAACTAGGATGAAAATATTTGTTGATAAATATAACAGTGACTGTGGAAACATTTTATAATAACAAGGAGTTACTAGTTTAAGGTGTACAGGGTTTCCAGGTTCGTCAACATCTCCCATGAGTGTATTGAGAAATTTTTGTTCCATCATTCTGACGTACAACATTAAAACAAATTTTGTTGTACTTGAACTTCAACGTGAAACAACCCTCAATAATCCTGGTGAAAATAATGGTTATAAGAAAAATGAATCTCCATTAACTCACTGATTTATAACTTGTATCTTTATAACAGTCAATCAGATGTTGAATGACTTTCAGGGAGGGAAAGATATTCTTATTTCTGACTATAGATTGACAGTTAATAATTATGCAGGAGGCTTAAGCAAATTAAACATGTCCTTAAAACTAGATGCCGAATAACAACCCCTAATTTAATCATCCACCCAGTTCCAGAGATAATAAACATTATTAATTAACAATTATGAATACAATTTTAAAAAATGAAAAAATATTGAGATATTTAATGTGCTTTAAAGAAATATCTCTTTCTGGAATCTACTCATTTGACCAAAAAGTTTCCATTCAATATCTTTCAGTCCTAATGCAATGGCTGAGGAAACACTAAGGTTTATTGAACAAAAATTAATATTTTTGCTAGTTTACTGTCTTACAGTGAATTATTCACAAAGGGCAAGAATTTCATCAGCAGAATGGGAAACTTAAGCTCGTGACTGTTTTTTTTTAAATGTTTGCTGACTCCATGATAGAGTCGTTCAAAAGTAGTAGAAACCGGAGTGTTATTCTTTAGCTTGTGGCACCAAGAAAAAAGTTTGTCCTATCAAATCTTGATGCCCAATACTATTAAGACTTAACACATTTAAAGTCTACGCAGAATGTGTCTTGTATTAAACAATTTGCTTCTCTCATAAATGCTTTGGCCCGTATCAATTCTTGAATATGTGGTCAAACTACAGATTTTAGCTTAAATTGCATTTTAAAGCATTGCAGCAACTGGAATTGTATTGGAATTCTGGTCGACAGCATTACTGTGTTGTACCATCAAGCAACTTTAGTTCAGAAAGAAAAACAAATCTTATCTGATGGACCTGGAATGGAATATATAGAAGCTAAACAAAAGGAAGGGTGTGTGTATGTGTTGTCCATAAGGTTCTTGTCATTTCAATGAAGTCTACAGAGAATCACTGATGCGTGGGAAACAAGTATTACTGCAAGCCTTGTGAGTTAGAACCAAACAACATTATAATCATGCAACAGCATATACAGTATAAATACTCTAGCATTATGATGTCTATAGTAATGTATTGCATTAATGATAATTTGAAACAAAACAGCTGGATTCACAACAGGTCTACCTACATATCTACTTATTCCGTTAATGCAGACAATGTCACAGATGTTTGAACCTTTAGTTTCTCCGCCAGAATGTACGGAACAGTCACTATAGAAAGACACGCCCTAAAAAAGCCAACACAAAGATGAGATAATTTTTAATTATGACTACTGTTTAGCCCATTACAGTGATGTAACAGTACTATGAAGATGTTCCTATGAGATATTTAATTTGAATGCTTATTGTGGTACTTTGACACTATCACACAGACAAACAGGGACCATGATGTTTGCAGATGACATTGTAATCTTTCTTGAGACTAGGGAGGAAGTTTAAGAAACCATAGGTGATGTAGTGAAAAGGAACGAATGTCAGGACAGAGCAGTACATGTGTAGGTGACAGCACACAGAGGAGGGGCACATTAGGGTGCAGGCAGGTTGGAATAGGTGGAGATGAGTGTCAGGGGTGAATTGTGACAGAAGAGCAGCAGCAAAAGTGACAGGCTAGTTTTATAAGCCAGTAGTGAGACCTGCTATGATGTCTGGTTCAGAGACAGTGGTTCTGTCCAATGGACAAAAGTTTGACTTGGAGGTGGAGGAGATGAAGATCTGAGATCTTCACTGGGAGAGACCAGGATGGACAGAAGATCAGAGGGACAATTAGGGTGGAGCAGTTTGGAGATGAAGTTAGAGAGGAGAGGTGGAGATGGTTTGGACACGTGTTGAGGAGAGATGGTGAATGTATGTGAGCCAAAAGATGGTGGAGATGGAGTTGATGCAGAAAAGGGGAAAAGAAAGACCTCAGAGAAGATTGGTGGATGTCAAAAAGGGCATGGAGATGGTTGGTGGAAGTAGAGGGAGTAGAGGAGGCAGATGATCCACTGAGAAGAAGGAAAAGAAAAACCGCATCAACAAGCATCTCAACATCTGTCAAGAGGCAGATTTAATCTCTATAGAATCTAGACATCTACAGAAAGAAACATTTCATACTGATTATTCACTATAAAAATAGGGCTGTCTTATAATATCACCAATCACCAATATTATTAGCCTGTCCTGCAGTAGCCTCATTAAGTATCTGTATTTGTTCTGTAGCACTGAAAAAATGGACTTGTGTCTTATTATATTACAATAAGGTCATGTTCCACACCCAGAGAACTGTGAATAACGAACAATACCAATGGCCAGTCATAATTATTAGATGACTCAGAAGGAAATAAATTATATTGTAAGTCGTGTTATTGAATATGATTGTGGAAAAATTCTACCTGTTGATTTAGGCACACTGGTCCAGTGTATTATTTTTGGGCACCTGCTTCAGAGCAAGATGAACCGGTTTAACGAT